TACGTAAGTTCCCCAGGTTTTCCATCCAGTCCTGCATTTTTTTCCAGTCTCAAATCTCCTATTACGGCAAACTTTTCAGGAATCTCTCTCGCTGTCGCGCGTTAACTGCAACCGCATTCGGGTAGATATAGCCGTCTGCCATATATCACTAATATAATGCGCTGATGAACAATGGGTCTTATTAACTCACCCTCCGTAAGTGAAGAAAGCTGTACGAAGAGAAAATTGCTAAGGAATCCATAAAATGTCCTAAACGCTTGTATTCCTTTATAAATTAAAGAACAAAAAGAAGAGAAAATATTCCTGTGCTATGTGGAAACAGTACTGCCTCATCACTAGTAGAGGACGATTTTGGCAAAGCTCAAGTATTCTCAAACTACTTTAGCAATGTATTTACCTTGGAAACATCTTTCCCACCAGCCCATGAAAACCCCCACACAAACACTGGACGGCGTGACTATTAAAAAAACTCGATGTTGTTGGTCTGCTAAATAAGCCTGACATAGGCAAATCCACTGGACCCGATGAATTGCATCCTAGGTTACTGAAGGAATTAGTTAACTTTGTTGCGAACCCTTTAAGTATACGTTTAAATCTATCCGTAACCCAGGATCGTTTACCGAAAGACTGAAAGAATGCCATAGTAAGTTCTGTCTTCAAAACAGGTACGAAACATAAATCTGAGAATTACCGACCCATTAGCCTAACTAATGTGGTTGTTAAAATCTTAGCAAAGATTATTCGGAAGGAGCTGTTTAAGTACCTCGATGAAAGCCGGATCCTTTCGGAGAAGCAGCATGGTTTTAGAACAGGTTATTATTGTCTCACTAAGTTATTGGTCACTCGTGAAAGCTGGTGTGCTCTTAAGGACCAAAAGTTACCTGTAGACATAGCCAACATCGATTTCAGCAAAGCTTTTGACAAAGTTCCGCACAACCGGCTGTTATGTCGGGATTGGAGGAAATTTATTGATGTGGATAAAAGACTTCCTAGTTGGGCGTCAACAAAGATTAAGGGTCAACTCCAAGTTGTCTAGCTTGGAAACTGTGCTTAGTGGAGTCCCCCAGGGTACAGTTTTGCGGCCAGTGATACTCTCCTTGTATGTAAATGACTTCCCTCGTCTACTATCGTCATAGGTCTTGCTATATGCTGAGGATGTCAAGATATGGAGAGCGATACAAAGTAAGAGTGATAGCTTAGAACTACAAAGCGACCTGGAGAAATTATGTGAGTGGTCTTAAACCTGGCAGTTGCCAACAAATACTTACGATGATCGTAGAAGATGCTTCCCCGCCGCTCTGTAACGTGATCTGGCACGGATGCATGACCAAGCTCCTCCAGCTAAACGAGTCCACTAAACCTTATGTGGTCAGCATCCAATGTCGAACACTTACAGCTATTTATTTTGGTGAATTATTTACAGCTACAGATCACCCCCCCCTAGTGAGATAGTGATGACCCTACGACATGGCCAGTCAGAAGTTTAAACCCAACGAGTTTGTCCTTGGTAAAAACTCTTCTGATGGCTTGCTAGGTTTAGCAGCGTCTGGTCGTCTTTCCTTACTATAACGAGCCATGAAATACAGTATAATAATCGTAATACAAATTACAATCGAAATCTCGGTTCTTCATAAACTATTCGAACGGGAAGTTTAGTCCTAACGTGATTTACATTTCTCAAACTTTTGCTGTGTTCTTACGCAACAAAAGTATCATTTCCAATCCAAAGAATCTATTCTGAGCTATACGTTCGGTAGATTACTTCTTTTTTTGTGTTTCACTCAAATTAATAGTTAACTGTGGTTTTGCCTCAGCTCACTATCGTTTTTTTTTATAGTTTTCACGTAAAGGCTAGCTTTAGCTTATCGTTAACTGTTTTTATACATTTTTGATAGTTTTTGTTTACTGTGTGTTTTTTTAACGGTCCTCAATTTACTGCTTATATTTTTAAGACAGTCTAAATCACTAGTCATGAAAAATTCATGCAAGAGACCTGGTTGCCGTTTTGCCGTTACATCTGGCATGCAATGTGACAACTGTAAAGGTTGGTTCCATGAAGCATGTACAGATCTAACAGCAGCAGCCTATAGCAGACTCAGCAAGTCTGATCGTAGGTGGGTATGTGTTACCTGCAACACCGATACGGTAGTTATGTTGGGTACCATCATTACTTTACTAACAGGTCTAAGAGATAAGTTGTCTAAGAATTTGGTAAATGATAGCATCATGACGGGTAACAAAGCTGGAACGCATAGGACAAACAAGAAAAAGGATATTGACAGGTCGGTTATCGACGGTGCTGTTAACAGCACGAGTGATGATCAACTTCGTGGAACATACATACATTGGTGGTGCCAACTCTACTGAAGCTCTGTTCTTCAACCTTATCGGCGACCTGGGATTATTTGAAAATGTGAAGTCTGCAACCCGTTGGAGAAAGTCAGACGCCGTCACGCTTAGACTGGGTATTCACAAATGAAGAATTCCTAGTTGACGACCTCTCAATCCTGGCTCCCCTGGGGAAAAGTGATCACGCCGTCTTATCATTCAGCTTTGTCAGCAAGACGGAGCTACGATATCCTACTAGCAACAAGCACTGGAACTTCAAAAGGTTGAATGTGTTAGCTTTACAGGACTATCTACAACAGGTGGATTGGAATGTTCACCCTCAAATTGAAGTGGATGCTCATTGGGATTTTTTACTGCACACGATCTTATGTGCTACTGAGCATTCGGTTCCTAAAATGGTCCCAAAAAGCTACAAGCAACCTGCAATCATCAAGAACCGCACTCGTCGTTTGCTAAGCCGCAAAAGGCACTGTTGGGCTGAATATAAACGAACTGATAACAACGGCGCGTACAGGCAATACAAACATATAAGGAACATATGCACAAAGGCAATAAGAGAAGACAGGTTTCAGTTCCAGACCAAGCTTATCGATAGATTCGTCTCCAATCCGAAAAGCTTGTTCAGTTATGCAGCTTCTCTTCGACAAGGCAAAACTGGAGTTTCCCAACTGCTTGGTCCTAATGGCCCGACCAACAACGACAGTGATGCCGCTAACCTTTTGGCTGAACGTTACTCCCGGACATTCCAGCTGACCCATATCAACCATACTGACGAAAGCTTCACCTACACCTGTACAGGACTTTCCGAAGTGGACCTGAGTGCTGACCTGGTGCTCCGTAAACTGCGGAACCTAAAAAAGACACTTCTCCTGGTCCGGACATGATTCATTCCGCTGTATTGAGGGAAGCAGCTTCAATCCTGGCGACACCACTTAGCGTGATGTTTGCACACTCGCTAGGCAGAGGCAAACTACCGGAAATATGGAAGCTGGCCCACATCACACCAATTTTCAAAGGAGGTCGACGCAGTGAACCCTCAAGCTACCGACCAGTGGCCCTTCTCTCCATACCTTCAAAAATTATGGAATCCCTAGTATTCGACGGCATATTAGAACACTTGTCATCCTCAAAGTTCTTCTCGCCTCAACGGCATGGTTTCAGAAAAGGTCATTCTTGTATGACCAACCTGCTGACTTCGGTGGATAGATGAACAACCATCCTTGATCGCAAGGGGAAGGTTGACGTCATCTACCTGGACTTCTCAAAAGCTTTTGATAGGGTCAACCATACATGTCTTATCAAGAAGCTTGGACGATTGGGTATAAAACCCCCTTTAATTGATTGGCTCTCTTCATATTTAGAAAACCGACACTTTAAGGTCACGGATAACTTCACTCTCTCTCAGGCTATGGAATGTCCTAGTGGGTTCCCTCAGGGTTCAATACTAGGACCTCTTCTCTTCTTGATTTATATTAACGATCTTCCTCAACAAGTTTCATCTGATTTATTGCTTTTTGCTGATGATGTGAAACTTTGGAGAGAGATACGTAATCATAATGATATACTAGTTCTTCAGGAGGATCTGACTCGACTTCAAAGTTGGGCAGACGACAACGGACTTACCTTCAACACTTCAAAGTGCAAGGTAGTCCATCTGAGACATGTTGCAGACTATAGTTATAACTTAGGTAACTCACCTCTAGAAGTTTCCCAAGTTGAAAAAGATTTAGGAGTGTTGGTACCCTACGACCTGAAATCGTATGCGAACTGTGACAAAAACGCCTCTCAAGCAAACCTTGCACTGGTAACATTGAAGCGCATTTTTGGCCAGTTTGACGGTAGAACCTTCCATATAATCTTCAACAGTTTTATTCGTCCCCATTTACAGTACGGAAACATAGTATTTCCTCCCTCCCTCCAAAAGGATAAGGACACTCTGGAACGTATACAACGTCGAGCCACGAAATCAGTTCGGGGACTCAAATTCAAACCTTATGAAGAGCGCCTCAACTCACTTAACCTTTACCCGTTAGAGTAAAGGCGTCTTAGAGGTGATCTTCTTATGACTTATAGTATCCTTAATACTTCTGGTCATCCCCTTAAACGTCTTCTTAAGCTTAGTCATAACACTAACCTGAGAGGTAACACCCAGAAATTGGAGACCCTACATAGCAGAACAGACTGCGGACACAACTTCTTCTCCGTTAGAGTTGTCAAGTGCTGGAATTCGCTGCCGACTGAGCTAGTCCAAGCGACCTCCCAGGAGTCCTTTAAGAGAAAACTTGACTTATTCTTAAGGACTAAGGATAACATATTATTATGATTTACCAAATTCTTTTTTCCCTCTATTATCGTTCATATACCTAGGTTCTTGCCTGGAGGTATTGGTGATCCACTGCCACCAGACACGGAAGCCCGTTAAGCGAAAGCTTCTTCTATTCCGTCCTCAACCATTTGAACCATTTGAACCATTCTTTTCCAGCCGTCCTGGAAAAGAAAAAAACAGAACGTGTCAGTGCATGCAGCCACAATGTCAAATAAATGGAAACAGACTCAATAAAAAAGATACGAGCTTATGACTTCCTGGTCTTAGACTAAACTCACAATATTTTGAATTTCGATCAATCGGTTGTTTGAGTAGACTGAGTGACGCAGTTCGGTTTCGATTCCCTTCAGGGTTAGTTAAGGATTGTGTGGAAGTAAATGTGTTCTTAATACGGATTGGCTTCGTTTTTCTCTTTTGTTAGTGACCTGGTGGGAGTTTTTGAAATAATGCCAAGCATATTTTTTTCGTAGAGAGAGGCCTAGGACGTGCTGATTGTAGGAAGTCGACATAGAGCCTTGAGCTCTGGCTGACGTTGTTGGCCCTTGTAATATTAAAGCAGCTCACTTTGTTCCATTTGCTAAACACTGGGGCAATTTCAGTAAGCCCCAGTAAAAGGTACCTATGGATCAGCTTGTGCTGCATTAGAATTCAGTTCTCTAGTCAACTGGGAGTTATTTTAGCTACCTATGGTCTTTCAGCACACACTGGTCACTTTCAAGTTTGTTAAAGCACTAGTTTCCCTCTTTTAAATCACCCAACCCTGCTTCCAACATAGTACATAAAACGAAAAACCAAGTAGTAGGCTAGGACGGTTTTTTTTTGTTGTATCATTCTGATAGTGATATGCCTAGCCGGCGTTTCTGTCTTCTGAGGTAACCCACAAATAACTTATTTTTCTCCCACTGACCATCTAATATTTTTAAACACTTTGTGTTGTGCAAGGCTTGTATATGTATGGTTCGTGGAAAGTAACCCACGAAATAGTGCTTTCACGTGTTCTGTAATTGAGACTCAATATTGATCATGGTTAACAATGCGAAGTCCATCTGTCTAATAAATCTCGTCGTCTGATATCCTTTTGAAATCCTTAATAAGCAGCATAATATGCATTTTGAAACAGTTTTTAGTATCTGGTAAAATAAAGGATTTTTTTAATAAATAGCTAGCGACTATCGTACTTCTTAAGTAAATACTTTCTTGGGAATGTATTGAGGCTCTCGTCTGTCTGTCGACTAAGCGGCACCAACGCCCTCATGCTGGTACTTTACTAACTATATCATCCTAATTGAAGGTAGTCACTCCGTCTTTTTAATGCCCACATAATGGAAATAAACTTATTCAAATTAATCGTTAGGTACGACCATGTGAACGTAACCACTGTAGGAACGATGTGTGAAACGACTTTATGGTTGTAACCCGTCCATTTGATTCATGGCTTGAGCACTTTTCCGTCCACTCTTTAGGCGGCTGGTTAATTTTATCAACCCTCAATGTAAGCCGAGTGAACAGACCCACGGTTAGGGAGTTTTATCGTGTGTTTAATTAATGGTAGGGGTTACATATAAGTTTCAGAGTATGGAAAGCCTTCACTAGAATATGTTTTCCCAGATTTAAATGTAAATGGCGTAAACTGACTGAAATCCACACCACACTTCAGTACATCTAGAAAAGCTAACAAATGGGACGGTGGAGCATAGTGATGTCGAAGTTGAGAATATCCGAGTTAATAGTATTAAGTAATTCAAGAACTCAGTTACTAGGTGCTGAGTCTAATTGTGATCAGTTGCTTTCTGAATAGAAGGTAACGTCATCTACCAGAAGCTGGCAAACATGTAAATCCAGACAATGACCACTTGACCCAAGTGAATAATCGTCCAAACCAGTTACTCGTATTGAATTAAACTTTTACAGATCAGTGCGTGTAAAAAGTAAGACTTTTAATACTTTTTTCATTCCTTGCAACTAATGTCTTTTCTTTGAAAAACATAGAAAACGTCAATGGCTCAGTGGGGCTCATACGGTTCTTACTGGCAAGGTGCTTGTCCAGGATATTATGACTATGCACAGCCTGCTCAGGTTAGTTAGTTCATTACCCACTCACCACTGTAGACATATGATTATAATCATCAAACCATTCCAGTTTCATCGGTACAAGATAAACCTTCCACACCTCCTCCACCCGGAGTAGAATCGACTGTTCCCAAGGTGGATGGGAATGTTACAGTTACAAGCTCCATTCCGGCAACTTATGACCCATCGTGGTGTACCTCAACTCCATTTCATTCTCCAAACTTTGCTTGTGCTTATACTTATTCACCTACGGTCCCACCCCGTCAACCGGTCATGTTCGACCCAAGTCCACAGAGGCATATGATGCCAAACGTTTCGTATCCTTCATACGGTTCTCCACAGTTGCCGTTGCATATGCAAAGTCAGTTAGGGTGTAACTGGAATGCAGCTAGACCTACTTATGGTTATCCGGTTAACGGAGGTGCGGTCCAGTCGTTTGGTATGTGGCCAGACGGAAGATCATCTGTTCATCCCAATGGTTTGGCAGTGACGGGTCCACGGTTTCCATTCCAGAGTACTTTAGGTAAGAAATACGTATCTATGTAGATTTCAAACTTTATTGTATCTCGAGGTAAACTTTTTTTCGTTAGTGTAGTCATTGAGTTCTTAACCTTCAAATTAAAGTGGCTTAGTGGCCAAAACTCCCATATTTCGACCGTCCAGTTACAATTTAGAGCTCCCCCCTCCTATTTCGGTATGACAACTGTCGTAATGTCAGTTTTTCTCATCTAAGCACACGATTATGGACTTGGTCTCCGATTTACGTTACTTTTATTGTTCATGGGTTGGAATTCAATATTAACTCCATCCACTTCAGTTTGAGCAGCTAGGAGGCTCTAGACAAATGGCGGCAAACCACACCAATATATTGACCATTTGGGTGGTTACTGGGCTGTACTATTTAGTGTCTACGGTTTCGTCCTGGTGACCATCGCGAATGTCCACTTAAAAATGGCGGTTTCGTTTGGGTGAAGATACTGGTCAATTACTTTCATAAACCCGTTATCTTTGCCGAACGAGACTAGTTTTTGATTCCCATGTGTAGTTTATCAGCCTCAACAAACAATTCAGACCAAAATATGTGTAAGGCAGTCTTCAGCGTTGTATTATAACATCATTAGTTTGACTGACAGTAAAACAGATAAACATACCTGATGTATCTTTAGGACAGTAAATTTACCATATAAAGATTACCTTATAGGTACGAACTTGGTGTTCAAAAACATCGATCTAATTATCTATAGTCGGGTGGTCAGTCAGATATAATCAAAGGGGAGCCCAAGTTGTCACACCATGTGAGGACAATCTTAAATAACATGAATGAGAGGATTTCAATTATAGTGGTTTTACTTATGATTGGAAAGAATAAGCATAGAGAATATTTCGAAAAGGGATCGGAAACTAAAGATCTGGCGGAGGATATTCCTGTGTCACTTCTACGGACTCTGACTCATGTGACCCGACGTTTTGGTCTGGTCTCGGTCTTGCAACCTGTATCTATGCCAGCCAGCATTGCTCGATAAAGTGGTGGATTGTTGGTCCCACTTAACTCATTTCCTGTCCACCAATCGTTTATAATTTACAACCTTAATAACCGGTTCACGATCCTTCTCCAATACTTTACGCTTAGTCTCAGGATTATTTACTTGCTAAAAAATTGACTTTGTCATTCTTTGAGTGGTCCCATATTGATCAATCTGTTGTTGTGGAAACTTAGTTGTACCGTACTTCATGAACACACAGCGCAATCTGTCTTTCCTTCTGTACTATATTCTTATATACATTTTTCATATATTACCACCATTAAATTAATTGCTAGGAATTCGGTGTTCATCTTGTGCTAATGAGGTGTGGCAACTTAGACCGATGCATATATGTGCCTGGTCCTACGCTGTGGCTGACTGACTGATAGCGCGTAAGGTTCGACTTTTTCCCCAACATAACTTTGATTGCTGTAAGTAAGAGCTAAATGCATGTTTCTTTTTATAATTGTCGATATATTGAACTCCTAAAAGCATATTAATGACCAATTTTATCTGGTTTTGTAAGTACTATTTTACGTGGTAACTATTAAGACTAATTTTAATTATCCAGATTCTCCAAACACAGTGGCTAGTGAAAATACTGCGAATACTCCAATTTCTAAAGAAGTCCTACAGCAACCGCCTGCTAGTTTTCAGGACAAAGGAGTAAAAGAGCAGTGGAGTGACGAACTCAAGTAAGTCTATGGTAGGGAATTCTTAACAATTTCAGCAATTCACTTTTCCATGATATGTTTGGTTGTTCAGCATCAGTTTCTCAAATTACCATCAAACATTTCTGTGCTAATTCAGTTTATGAACATTTTGTTTTTCTGAATCAGTGTTTGATGGATGTTTTCACCCAGAGATAGAGGTTCAGTTTATAGGTAATATTTCGGATGAGTAGGCATGGCTCACCAGCTAAGTTAGGTAGAAAAATAAGTTCACGAGACACTCATCTATACCGTGTTGTTTCCAGCCATTTAGCAGTTCACCAAGAAAATCAGTGCAAGACAGCCAGTGATAAGTTGATATATTCAGTTTCCGGATTACTTGGGTTGGATGTTCCTTTTTATTGGGTCGTGATTCTTAAGGTTCATTGTAGAATGAAACTACTGTCCTTTCTATTATTTTTGATAGTGTATTGAAAGATCTACATTTCTGTGCTTTTTATTTTTCTATCGACTTATTAATCTCCCAATTTTTTTTGTAGAGAGTATGTCCAGCGAGCGTTTTGCAGCATTGATACAAGTGAGGAAAAAGATCAGATGGAACGGATTTTAAAAGAAAAATTGGAGTACGTTTTTAGAAATAACATCAAGGTCAATTGGAAGACAGAAAATATTCCGACTATCCCCAGTCGTGCGATTGCTAGTTTCCGTAAATCCTTTAATATCAGGGGCAATTCTGTCAAGTAAGCAGTACTTTAGTATGTTTTTTTCTGTCATTAATATTACCATGCATTTCTTCACAGTCGGTTTACATAGAGAAATGAAGGTCGTCCCATAGGTCTCCAGTTATTCTGTACGTTTTAGAAAGTAGATATCTGGCTTGACCATTCTATTAAATGTCTATTTATTCATAAGATTTCCTGTCACATTATCGGTTAATATATTCCTTCCTAAATGAATGTGAATGTTACTTTGTTTGATCAAAACGTTCCACAATTCTTATAGGCCTTGAGTGCACTACCTCTAGATGTAACTAATTTATCAATTTTTCATCCTTTGTATTGATGGCCTATATCGTGTCAGTGTTTCCATTGACATGACTTATTTGCATGGTCTCATTTGGCCAATCTTCGTGCAGTAAATCCATAATTGGAGGAATAGAATTCAGTCTTATTTCTAAAAGTTTATGTGTGAAATTGCACACGGTAGTGAGGTGAAAGACAATTAGTTATTTTCTTTCAATTTACTAACTGAAAGTATTGCTATTTTGACACTAGATGGTTCGTTGAAGTGTTAGCTATCTGTAATATTTATTCAATGTTATCGTAAGGTCAACTTATGGTGGAGTCTTACTATGCTTGTGTTCAGTATCGATCACTCACTCAATAAATCGTGATACTTTTTGTGTCAGGAGAAATATAGTGATTCTAGTCCAGTTATTTTGCCACACTGTTTTACACTAAACAAGGTATGGTGTTGTCAGGACTTCTAAATACTAATTTCGACTTGTTAATTCCTATTATCATTTTGAAATGGTTGATCTAAGTCTTTTAAATTTTGATGTCTAATTTAGGTTTTACATTGTCTTCTACTAATACCTATAAGGTTTTCTATTTCGTTTTACTTATTTGGTGGAACTTAGTCAATAAATAGATGATAAATCAACCGAAAGTACTAGTAACACATTTCAGCAATGCCTTAATTTTTACTAAATATGTACTCACCTATTAGTGACTGTTTTTAACCTCTTTAAGTTATAACTCAGTCAGTCAATAACCTGTGATTAATTAGATATTTGCATTTTTGAATGAAATCGTTTAGTGTCGTGCGACCTGTTCAACTTCCCGGTCCTCGTGGACTTCGCCCAACGGGTCCATCAAGGGGAGCTCCTGCACGTCTTCCTGTTGGGCTTTTGTCGAGAGGTGGCCGCAATGTGTTTTCGTCTTCAGTTGTTAAGAGTATATCACCATCCAAAAAATTGCCATCGAAATCTCGCTCACCTAGTCGTTCTCCTGTTTCCAAACCTTTAAAAGATTGGCAGAGAAAGCGTTTGTATAGATCCAGGTCTAGTTCATCCTCAGAATCACGTGGCTCCCCTCATTCTTCATCCTCAAGTAGTTTCAGGACAAAACGCCACCGGCGTCGGGACTCTCGGTCGCGCTCTGGTTCTCGGCATGCACAGCGAAAAACGAATGATGTAAAGGATTCTCAAAAAAGGTGTGCCAGTGATTTCCACATTTTGGTTTTACTGTATGCATTTTGTTCAACCCAAAGTATCTAATGGGTTCTAAACCATTTTTTGAGAAAGTTGCTGTGAGCAAACAAATCAACTTACATTTGTGTGGTGATATTGTTCACTACGTCGAAACATAAAAATATTCGCTTAAGGCCAGAAGTAAGAATAAGTGCCATAAATTGTCGATTGCATTGAGTTCAAACTCAATTGGCAACTGATTTCTATCATATATTCAGTGTTATAAATGCTCTTGATAGTCAACTGATTAGTCGAAAGCTGTACTTGCTCATATCTTTTTTTGGTGTTTGTTATCGTTAGCCCTAAATAGTTGGTCCAATGAGTATATAATTTATTTCGAAGTGTTCATTTGTGACCTATTAAAGGCTTGAGTTGAAAAAATGTTCAACTTGGACCAATCAGGAAGACGTTTTGCAGAGTATAAAACGTATTTTACTCCACTCTTGTCATGTACGTCCAAGTTGATATCGGTTATTTAATTGTTGACAGTTTTACGTGAATGAAAAAATGGGTAAAAAAAGTTAGGATTAAATATATTTAACAGAAGAAAGTATAGGTAGTTCTAAATGGTTGTAAAGTACTTTGATATTATCGTTCTCATTTTACCTAAAGATTCAAACATCTGCTTCCCCCTAAAATCTTATTAGAAATTATTTACAGGACCGTGCATTCTATATATCTTAATTCAATTCTCAGAAGTATCTAGCTCTGATATTATTAAATATTTTTTAATTTAATAGACGGAATGCCTGTCACGCAACGCTTCAAAGATAATAATTCACAAGCTAATAAAGAATATAGGATATTCAGTTTGACTTGATGTTCTGTACAAAAGTTGGAAATTAACAAGAAACAACTATTTATGTAGGGATATGAAATAAACTCGGAATGCAGCAAAGTTGGCGAACTGAAAGCAATAGCAGTCAACACGTAATAGCAAAAAATAGATAGCCTGTGATCTTCTTAGCATCTTCATACTTTTAAAAACAACTGGCACATTGTTTTTTAATATATTGAATCGTATGAAGACTACAACACACGTAACTAATGGTACTAGAGTGACAATAAATTCATATTGTTATACGTTGATACATTTAGATGAGATAAATAAGCGACTTATTACCAGGTCGTATGAAGTATAAATCAAAGTTGTCTGACTTGATTATAGCTTTCAGTTTGCCATGTCTCCGTTATTGCCTGTAACCTTAAGGCCAGGAATTAGAATATAATGTCAACCACTTTTTGTAAGCATATCAACGATATAAAGTTTAGCTTGCACCATCAGTATCAAGCATTCAAAGTTTTCTTATATACTTAAACCAACCTAGTGATTTAATATACTTTGTGCTAATCCTTTCAGACTATTTATTGAGAAAGATCTCATACCAGTTATTACATATTCCTGTTATCTGTGTTCGTTATCTTATGGTAACCTTCATAAATGTTCACTCTCATCTTTTAGTACACCGCAGTTAGCCACCAGGGGGAATTCCAAGGGTAGACGACGGAGGCGTGGTGGTGCTTCAAACGCCGACTCAAGTACAGACGCAAATACTTCTAATGAAGATGTAACAGCCGCAAGGGGTCGTGGACGTGGCAATTGGCGTAGTAAACGTGGAAGCATTTCAAAGCATACTCCTCCAAGTGAATCTCGCCTTACACAACGAGCCAGTAGATTTAAAGATCATCTGGTGCAGTCACCTATTGGATCAGGCTCCATTGCACGGACAACCAGTCAGCTGCTTTCGAATTACACTGACGAACGTGATGATTTAGCTGTTGATTTCGGTAGCTGTCAAATCGTTGGTACCATGCAAGAAATAGAAAAACAATACTTGAGACTGACTCGAGTAAGTTTTGTCAGTACTACTGATCGTGTTGAGTACACCCCGTAGTGTTTTTTAAGTTAACCTTTAGTTAGAAACTTCATCTTCCAGTTATCTGTCTTTTCACAAAAAGAAAGTCATATCGAATGGTGAGAATATTAAATAAATAAATAAAAAATTTCGTGTAATTATGATGTACTATAGTTTCCTGAGTGTACGTCAACGAATTAGTTTCTCATTCTTATATGTACTTGCCAGTAAAATACTCACGGAGGTTCCTATTCATGTACATTTATGTTTGTAGCTCAAGGGTATAATTGTTATGGCGTGTTGTGTGCACTAGATGGTTTAGTCGTAAAGCTTTCAATGTTTTCATAAGCAACAACACAAACTTCGGACCGGTGTCGTACACTATTCCGCACATTGTATCCTATTCACATAATTTCATCAAGTTATTTATACTTATGTTGACTACAAATTTTCGAGTGAAACTTAGATGTTCTAGAGACACTGTTAGTATATTAGTAAATAGGTATTAACCGTTGTCACATTGTCTAGTCTTTAGTGTTGTCTAAATTCTATCAATCAATTTTCGATGTTGTCGTTTATATATAAGCGGCTCAGCATCACATGCTCTATTTTGCTTTGAGGTGGTTTAATGTAGCAGGAAACTTTGGACCCAAGTTTCTACCCGGTCGCGATTCGTCAACAGAGAATACCTACAACCTTAGAAAAACTGACGGTCGGTGTAGTGTCTAACTTGACTCATTCCGTTACATAGTTTGTTACCATTGAGCCACTCCAATCGCGACTGACCTCTAGGAAATCATCATCATGAAAATTTGTTTGGTAACGGATTATGTATACGCGACTAAGTCTTAAGTGTTATTAGCTTTATTTATTACTAACAATTGTATTAAGTCATTTGTGTAACCAGGGGATAAGTAGAGGTTGGTTGCTTCAATTTGTATCAACTCTGAACATATACGTATTCACGCTTGACTGAATAACTCGACAGATGATAAAATCCGAATGCCACGCTTGTAATCATTGATTCTTCCAGTAAATCAATTTTATAGTAATTCACCTGTTGTAAAATGACTTTCTCCATTGCTTTCAGGCTCCAGATCCTACAGAAGTGCGACCCTTAGCAATTTTGAAACTTTCTTTGGAGCATGTCAAAGAAAAATGGCGTTCAAACACCGATTACCACTGGGTGTGTGAGCAGTTCAAAAGTATACGTCAAGACTTAACTGTAAGCCTTACTGTTCTTATTTTGCGCTTATCGTTAGCTTATTAAAAGGACAGAAGTCCAACGTAGTTGGAAGTAACTACTATATTTCTAATTTATCGCAAAAAATAACTATCAGACGTGTCCGCTCTCGTCCAGCCTTCAGACATGTATCTGATTGATGTGACTCAGTTTGCCTCTGGCATCCGTTTATCCCACAAAATGTTTTGAATAACACGCACTACATAAATAGTTTATTTATTAGATACAGTCGGTATTATAATGCATGACTTTTTGAATACCTTATGTGCATATGAGAGAAAGTTCCTTGTGTTTTTGCACGTGTTCGATGATAGATGATCCCTAAGAACTTGTATGTTTTAGCATCTTAAGCTTATATTATAAGCTAATAAATTAACAACTTCGTTTATCTGAATAGTTAACTTAATAAACAAATTTTACGATAACATGAGAGTGAATGAGATCTCATTTTTTTTCATCATCATTCTAAAAGTGATTGTCAGTGAACTCGTTTGCAACTTGACAGATTATCCTGTTCGGTTGTCAATGCTGTCTACAAATTATTCTGGATTATGTAGAATAGTAGTGTAGTATTCCTAATGAAATTTTTTAAGATGTTAGAAACCAGATGAAGGGTCTTGTTGACGGCACAAAAATCAACCCGAGTGATAAACACGTTATATTTTTATTCAGTTTATTCTCATACATGCATAAAAACCTGAATTTCACTGGGATAGTAACACTTCCAGTACCGTTCACTGATATTCCTTTGCCCTCTGTTAGTCGACCATAAGGCGCACTGCAACTATGTTAACTATATTATTACCATCCATTTTCTTGATTATAGTTAAAAATAGCTAAGTTCGTGAATTTTATGACGAGATTGATTATCAATTTTCATCTTTCCATCAATGTCTTTGAAGATAGCTATTGACCGTAGGGAAGGAAAGATCAGATTGTACCCAAGCTACTATATTACATTTTCCCATATCTCCTAGTGTTTTTATTCGTTTGTTGGACGTATTGGTGTACGTTATCAAAATAATTACTATACAAAAAATATCTATATTTCATCCTTTATCAAGTGACTCATAAAACACAGGTTCATGTGGTTGTTTCCCAACTATACTTTATTCATGTAAGAGTTGACGACGATACTCGGCTGCCCAAACGAAACTCGAAGTGGTGAGGTTCATATCTGTGGCCTAATGTTTGATAGACAAGTGTTTTTACAATAGGAGACGCTGCTTCCTCACTACTGTCTTTTACGTAGGAAACGTGCTTTATGTACAGTGTTTTTAATAAATTTCCAACATATTGTTTAAATCATTTTAGGTACAAGGTATCGAAGATGATTTTGCAGTATCGGTTTATGAAGCACATGCAGATGTAGCCTTAGAAGCTGGTGATTTTGAAGAGTTTCATCAATGTCAAAGTCAGTTGCTTCGTCTTCATAAAGAAGGCTTAGGTGTTAGTAGGCTGCTCGAATTTACTGCCTACAGACTTCTTTATTACATCTTCACTCTCGATATTTTAGGTAAGTTAATCGCAATCCGAAAATCGCTTTATTATCCTACTGGAGCTCAGCTTTTCACTTTCAGAGGCTCCGCGTTTTGTGTCATATTATTAGTAGACTAAGTAGCTAGTTTCATTTTAAGTTTGAAAGTCATCAAGGATATTTTATAAACTACTTTCCATAGATTCTTTATCCTGATTGACCAGTTGTCCAGTCATCCCTAAATTAACATCAATATTCTCATAATTTTCTGTGCGATTTTTAGTCACTTGATTGTTTTGTTTATTAATATCTACTGACTAAATATTCATAAGTCCCAGGAGTGGAAAGAGGTGTTTATTATCTGTATTGAAAATATTACTTGACCAATAAAACTACTCTAGATAGAGTAAACGTGCGATCACTGATCTACTTTGTCTTTAGCCCAGTAAACTACAGCCCTATCAAGATGGTGTTATTACTTAGCCTTTGACCGCAGATTTCTAGTGGTACTTGGCTTTGCATTTATTGTATCGTGAGTCAAATCATAGGTGGTTGTGTGTATTTGGAAACTGGCTCCTATGACTTCTTTCTTTTTCCAGCTACATTCAGTGGCTTCAGTGATGTGGATATGATTTTTGTGTAAGATCAATTTGTTGTTTCTCACTGAAAATGTGGAGATTCATAGTACAACAATGTAAGACAGTTGATTTGTGACACTCATTAAACTAAAAGATCACGTTTTGTGGATCGGTTTAGCAAAATACCGTATTTGTACGACTTTCACCTGTTAGCACTAGTCAAAATAATTTGTATGCTAGGGATCCGCTCGTGTCTTTCACCTCATCATTTTAATGTCTTTACCAATTAATTTATTTTATTATGTATTACTGAATTAGGATATTTCTAAATCTTTCTTTATTTCACTAGGTATCAATACTATCATGGCTGGTTTACGTCCAACTCACAAAACTAATCCATGTATTTCATTTGCTTTAAAACTCCGGTCAGCGTGGTCGTTGAGTAATTATCATCGTTTTTTTCAACTTCTTTATCCAACTAATGATGATCAACAACCTCCTTTACGGTGCAAGCATGTTGTAAACTGGTTTGTTGATCGTGAAAGAAAAGAGGCTATCAGACTAATGTTTAAGGTGTACGTTGTGTTGTGATTTGTCATAGTAGTTTTATAACGTGTAGGTGGTATTATTAGAACCACTAATGGTAGGATTGTTTCTAGCGTTAAAGAAAAAGGTATACTTAATCATCTAAGTTTGTTTACGGTCGTTCAGAGAATGAGTCGTTTTTTCACTTTTTTATTTTATTTAAACACATAAATATTGCTACAAGGAAGCACCAAATACATATGTGCCGCACAAATCTTTGATTTATGTGAGGGCTGTGATACTGTCCAGGTGCCGAAACCGAAACAGGTGGTTTACTTAGGGGGCCTTTGACCTAAAGGTCTAATCCTTAAGGCAGTTGAGCATCGTGAGGAGATGCAATCCCATGGTAGCCGGTGACCAACGATTGACTCATACGCCATTCGTTCCACCAGAATACTGGAGCCCGTGCGCATGATTGGTTTGGAATGAGGGTTTTCCAACTCCCCTAGGTGGACACTCCACATCCATATCACTAGTTGTTTTTCATTATAGCTATTGCTATTAATTATTAATGATTTTGATTGATTCTAGGAATATCTATGACAGTAGTCATCACAACACAAAATAATGATAGTTTTAATGATGCTGTTAATATTTCTTTTGATTGAACCGATTGGAAGATTGCAGTCATTACAAAGTTCAGCGCCTTTATTATGGTTTCTATTTAGGTTTAACAGCTTTGAAATGATTATTGTGTTAATAGTCAATGTTGTAATCTTGATAAAGTTTCAATCGGAAATGTTTCCTTACGTAACGAGATCATACTACAACTGCGATAATATACAACACAACTGTCCACGTGTCGTAGTTATTATTGTAAAAAAACAACTCTATTAAAACATTTTAGGCAATAAATATTTGGAATTTTATGTATTTTCTTTCACCAATAGATACTGTCGGATGTGTTGAAAGCGTAAGCTCATTAATATTTAAGTCCCCATCCAAATGTAAATTGTTACTCCAGGACTGGCCTGCGTCAACCCCTGAACTAAGGATAGGGAGTGAAATAGTTGAACGCGTCGACAACTTCACTCATCTTGGAAGTCTGATCAGCCCTAATGGGTTGGTGTCTGACGAAATCTCATCACGGATTTAAAAAAAGCTCGTTTGGCTTTTGCCAACTTACGTCACCTATGGCGAAGACGAGATATCCGTCTATCAATTAAGGGACGAGTATACTGCGCAGCAGTTCGCTCTGTTCTACTTTACGACTGTGAAACATGGCCATTAAGAGTAGAAGATACTCGTAGCTTACTAGTATTTGACCACAGATATCTTAGAAATATCACACGTATCTGCTGAGATCACCGGGTAAGTAAAAGTGAGTTTAGACGTAGGGTATTGGGGAATGATGGTAAATCAGTTGATGAGGTGATGAATCTTCATCGACTGAGATGGTTGGACCACGTGTTACGTATGCATGAACAATTGCCACGATGCACAATGTTGACTAGTATTGGGGATGGTTGGAAGAGAGTTTGGGGCGGCCAAACCAAAACGTAGCATCAGTGCTTGAATTCACTAACTTCTAGCCTGAGTCATGTTGGCAGATGCAGACTACCTGGTTGGGGTCCTCGTGACTATCGTAACCAATGGTTGGAGACTCTAGGTGACATGGCTCAGAATCGATCACAATGGCGTAGGTGTATACACTCTTTATCTTCCTTTAAACCTTGAAATTAAAATTGCTTCATATCTGTCTTCCTTCCTATCTCTTATATACTACCACCACTAAATTAATTACTTCTATGAATTCGGTGTTGATCTTGTTATGTTAACAAGGTATGGCAACTTGGACCGATGCATATATGTGCCTGGTCCTACGTTATAGCTGACTGACTGTCTATTTGAGCGATACACCTAATTTTATCATATGAAGGAATCATTATGTATAATCAGTTCGCCTTTGGCACCTACTAATCTAAATTAATTTTAAAGATTACTTAATATTGGTCAGATTAATGTTTAACGTTATATGTTTTAGTATATATTTTTTGTGCCTATATCATATTCATTCGTCTTCGTCTGTTTGTAAGTGATGGTGGTTTACTTTTTGAATGAAAAATTAATTTTATAAAAATGTTCTGCTTTCTCTCTTCATTCACTTCATTTGCTATCGTAGAAGTCTGTTTCTTATTTTAATACGTTGCCTTCTACTGAAGTATACATATATATATTCAACTTTTGTAATCAAACTTTTTCTTATTATATTTTTATACTTCTTTCAAAATCATAGATCTTTGAGGTATACAGCTTTGTAATCTTTTTTACGTATTCAGTTCATGTTTATGTTTTAATTTTGCATACTGATAATTCTTTTTTTCTATTTACTACTATCTGCAAATATCGTTTACGTGAATTTCGCTTGATGCCCTCAACGTATTCGTTTGTTTCCGATATGGATTCTTCCACTACATTTGCTAATGCTAATTGCTTATTTCAATCATGATCTTTTTTTCTGATCTTTCAAACCCATTTCCTACGAAATATCCCCACTATTTTTAGTTTCCGTCCTACAATAAGTCTTTCATTTATATCAAAATTAATCGGGTTTTCTTCTACTACTTTATGTAAAGATTTTATTTGTAAAGAATTTACTCTACCAGAATCTCATTTGGAGCCGATAGAAAAAGTCGATACAAAGGCGGTTTGGAGTCTTATGTGCTCACAGTCAACATGAATCAATGCTGATTCTTCATCGTTCATCTGGATATGCGTCCCTACAATGTGGCATAAAATTCTACAGTGACGGTTGCATTTCGTAAATGACATCAGATTATTGTACATAAGTTTATATATTTTATCAGAATAATTTTATTTTCACATACTTTCATTGTTCTCATTTTCTTGAATCACTAGCACTAAAGGAAATTCTATTTATGAAGGTCTGTCTCGTTCTAGTAATTTTGCTGGTCACTATGTCGTGCTTGCTTAGTTTAGCTAGCTGCAGTGCTAGAAGTCCTATGATGTGTTCGGTCTTTATCTGCATCTTATTTTTATCGTACTCATGGTTTTGGGCCATGTACACTCAAATACTCACAAGGCGGTCTAAACGGTGTATTGCATTGACATCTAGTATTTTATTGTTTTCACATAGATGGCCTTTCCCAACTTTTAGATGCAGTGCGTATGCCTTAAGTAAAGTACATAAATAAGTCTGTCTAACTCTAAATGGAAAGTAAAATCGAACTAAGAGTAATGTCTCAATGAAAGTGGAAACGGGGACTGAGAAATGATGTTATTTTTAAACGAGTGTATGCGATGATATGAGCTGTGAAAATAGTGAGGTGGCAGTTAATCTGCATTTGTTGGACTGGACTCAGTCGGACATTAGGCTAACTTGCAATCTGTCTGGTTTAGAAGTAAATCGTGGGTTATGTACCGAGCAGGAGCTACGTTTTGTAAGCAACGCCACCAGCGCGTTCAACAATAAGAGGGATTACAATGGGAGGGCGTCGCCTTAGAAACCAAGCTTCTGTAGCGCGGGTAAACAGTGGAAGCTCTTAGTACCATTAACATATTACCCTCTAGATTTTTAATGTGCAGTAACGGCGTTCGCAGCATTTGGTTAGAACACGGCTCTCATGTATGCCGTTGTCCAGCTAACTCAATAACTGTCTAAACACTTTTGTATTGGTTATGGGTGAGTGCCCATCCTAAGATGGTGTGGACACTCGAATCACAAGCTTGTATCTTGACATTTAATTTTCCTTTAATATATTACTACTGTCGAAGTAACTACTATGGATTTGGTGTTCATGTTGTGGCAGTTTGGGACGTTGCGTTTATGTCCCTGGTTCAACACTAGCTGGCTGACTGATTGATAATGAGGCAGTCGTTTAGTATTCTGTAAGGGCTGGTGAGACATCATTAAATCCTAGAGCAAGCTATTTAGCAAACAGTACGGAGACAAAGGTTTATCCATCAGGCCACTCGGGTAAATAGTTCTCCGGCTACCTCGCAAATTGCCTTTCCTAGTCAAGGTCAAGAGAGCTGTTCTTCGCTCAGTTGTTTGCCATGGACAGGTGCTTTGACGGCACTTGTGTGAAGTTTAATAGCAGCGGGGTGGACATCACTAAGTGTTATGTTGGTTTTAGTCTGTTCGTCAGCTGAAATTCGTGGTTAACGTTTCCTAAACAAAAATAATTCATTCTTGTCAGTACGTCACGTAGCGAATTCGTTACAGTATGTGTGGCGGTGTCCTTACTGTTTCTTTTGACAAGTATCACTGAAACATTCCTGTAATAACGTTATGTTTCTCTACATTTATCAAGATACCCACTACGTAGATACGATTCTAGCTGTAAACAAATTCACAAAATAAACGGGTCTTTAATTCTTAGACATTGATTTTGGCGTCATTAGTTTTGTGAGACACCGTAAGTGAAGGCACTCAGTCATACATCCTTACGGACCACTGGTAGGTACGCCGTGTTACACACCACTTGCAGCTCTTCGACATCGTGAGCTTTTCAAAATTGTTCTTAAACACCTTTATTTCTGATTTGACTCGGTTTATATCCTTCAATAAGGAAGGTGTTACACACGAAAGCAGTGTCAGAACCTGAATATGTGTAGCATCTTTCGTGGTAAGCTCGACTTGATACAGTACACCAAACGATGATCTGTGGGTCTGTTCTTCGTTGTAATGTATATCACATATTACCTATTTGTCACACAACCATAGATATAAATGGACAGCCTGAGCAAATGATTTCCTTAAGAATAATGTATTCCTCTTTGTATTTTATTTATTTTCAATTAATAGAAGTACTCGGGTTGAATAAATTATTGTTGTGAATAGTAATCATTGACAAAACTAAAGGTTCATTCATAGTTGTTTACACTGTAGTCCATCCCATTCGGTCACATACATACATAATTAGAAAGCAACATATACTGATTGGAAAATTCGATATCATGCTTACACCATACAAGTGCATCTTATGTTATGTGCATAATTAGATAGATGTGCTTAAAGAGACAAGCTATATCAGTGTAAACATTCGTACAATTTAGGCCAACAGACTAATATTTGTTTGTGAAAGTGTTAGATGGTTTACATCAATATTCTAGAAGTAAATCTTGGCACATCTTAAATGTTGTAGAAGTAAAATAAGCGTGATCATTTTATGTATAAGCGAAAGAAGCAATTAAGCTGAACCGTAGATTTCACAAAACGCTTTGTGATAGCTGTAAATTTCCCCATGTAATATTGTTGCTCTTTATGTAAATCCACTTCTTCCGTTTCATAAATTTTGACGTAAACTTAATGAACGCATTTGCTGGATTTGTTAACCGCTTATGCATATATTTTTGCCTAATTAAGATGTGCTTAAACGGTACGGGCGCTGTCATTTTTATCATTTGTCCTAAAACGCCATGTTATTGATATGGCAAGCCAATCAGAACTAGCCTGCTGCAAAGATTAGTCAGCGGCAATCGAATGTGATCTGAAAGTCAACTGCATTTCCTTGAGTTAGTAATGGATTGTTTTCCTTACGAGTTGAGTTATAAATACATATATATGTATATATAAGTAGTTGTGCATTTTATTCAGTAGTTTGACATACATTACCGTTTACTATTGTTCTCGGTCAAGTTGTGGAGATAGAACCTTAAAACCTATTTTGTAAATAATTTTTCATTGTTTTTGCATGTATTTTCATATTCTGTACATTAAGCATTAAACAATTGTACTTGTTGTTTAACTGTATTACTTTGAACGCTTGTAACTCGACTTCCTTCCGTTTTGAGTACAACATATCGTGACACTGTTACTGCTCCTCAACAAATACACTCTAATTCACATCTGCATCGTTCTGCCATGTCTGCTAATATGTTGAATGAAATATTAATTCCATACCATCTACGTTTATAGACAATTGCGACATTTTTATTGAATTCTACGCTTGGTAAACCTACTGGATCTATATCGTCCATATTGGGATTGCTAATTTTTTTATAATTGTGGATTATTTGGACCAAACCCAGCCGAACACGCAATAGCCTGAAGACTTAAGTAACGTCCCTTATTTTGTTATTTGTGTGTGTAATTAACTTATTGACTGTTAATTGTTACATAAACTATAGACATAATATTTTTGTTGCTAATTTTTGGTTATCATACATTTTGGTCCACCACAAAGTAATTAGTTTCGGAATGGAGCGTAGCATACCGTGTGACATTTTGAGATTTCATGGCGATATTTTCTGGTGACGAGGGTAGGAGATCAATTTAAACCGACCAATCGATGAGCATCACATTGTCGTGGTAGTATCAGTTGAAGCAGAATTAAAACCAGTTTCTTCAGGTTCGATCGACGTTTGCCGGCAACGATGAATATAATTCAGAATGTTTTGCTAACGTATTGTGAAACTCAGTAGATCGCGAATTAATTGTATGACGGTTGGCCAATAGTAATCTAATGGAGTGCTACCGACGATGCAATGCATCATCTATTACGTACTGATGTCTATTGTTTGAGGGAGGACTAGTTATTCTGACCATCTTTGAATCCTAGGTAGTGAAAGACCTCCACTCAGATCACCCTAGTGTGCAGTGTATGAAGTCACTGGCACTCAGTTATGTACATAGAACGACAGTGTTTAAAAAAATTGAAAGTATCACCGGTAAATGTCCACAACGTACACAAACCACAGAGGTGACACCGGGAGTACAGTCATCTCCGTGGCCAACTGCAACAGAGAGGAGGTTTCATGTTGATGTTGACTTTGCTGGACGATCAAATGGTTGGTTAAGTTTTCCAGAAACACTAGTTAAAGACAGTGGACTTCACCTTACGTCTGAAATGTCGAACTTTGCCTGAAGAACACAGTCACACATATTCTGTCACCATACTTACATCTCCAGTCAAACGGTCAAAGTGAACTTTTCATTGAGGCCTTCAAGCTAGCCTTTATCAGGTCTCCAGGGGAGAGCAAGATGGGGGAGGTCATCCAGAACTTCGTGTAAGCATGCGCAACGACCCCGAATGCGGCCTCATCTAACGGTGTCTCTTCATCTGAGTCAATGTTCGGAAGGAAGACCCAGACTCCGTTTGATAGCATGTAGCCACAATGAAGAAGACAAAGGATATGAACCGGTGATGAGGATTGAACATCAGTTTCCTAATAAGTTACCAGTGTATGTAGGAAACGTTTGACAATATGGGCCTGCTTAAGGGGTAGGTGTCACTTTAAGAAAAGTAGGTAACTATATGTTCAGAATTGATGTACGATGTAAATAACTGACGCAACATATAGACCATATCCGCGGTAAACGACTATATTCGGATAGCCAACTAGTCTATTTAATTAAAATGGCCAGTTTTGAGTGACCAAGTCAGTGCATGAGAGGTGATGCTCAGATACCAGTCTAGGAAAAACAGGCAACAGGGGGGGGCAATAACGCTGAAGTGTGGGTTTCCTGAGTTAATTTGTGATTGATGCAAATGTCTCTTTTATCTTAACCCATTTCCCCGTTTCACAAATTTCAACGCAAACCCGATAAACACATTTACCCATTTTTTCAATTGTAATATATATTAACTGGAGTTACTATATACACGTATGATAATTTCTTTTTCTAGTTTTCGTTTGCACCACGTTGCAGCAAAATTCTGTGTAGATGAAGTTCACTTGCTCTTTTTCGATATCTGTGCGTGTATACTGTCGAAT